AAGGATTCATTTCATTAAAGAAATATCAATTTCACTAAACCCAAATATATTAAAGTGGACCTATCATGCTATATTTGAATAATATAGTGTAGGACCATACCTATATAAGGCATATTTATACTTTTTATTTTTCAAAATACCAAACAGATCATGCATTTTAGCCATTCCTCATTTAGCTCAATTTAACACTGTCTTTGCATGGGCTGATTCTGTGAGAACAGCACCATCTACAGGCCTGGCATATGTTCTAAATAATAATAATAATAATAGATTTAATTTGTTAGCGCTTTTACAGGTGCTCAAAGACGCTTTACAGATAATAGAGAAGAGAAAAGAGAAGAAAGGAACAACAAATAAATATATAGTTAAAGTTAAAGTCATATAATACAAAATACAATACAAAAAGTTGGCCCAATAGCCGTAGCGCCACTCCTGTGACGTCACAGAAGTGTTCAAATCTGGATCAGTCTGTATCAGATCCGTTGCAGCCCCTTTTTTAGAGATTTGGGTATGGAGGAAAATAGAGAGGGTTGTGTTTTCTGACACTTGGTGAGTTCCCTGGAACACCGGGGACACATATTCATGTATAAAAGATGTACAAAAGTGCATTTTGCATGATAGGTCACCTTTAAATAAATGTTTGGTATTTATTTATACTCAATAAGTGACTTGAACACATAATTGTTTATTGTATCAAAAATATTTAGTCTATATCTATCTATTTATTTATTTAAATGTTGTGCTTATTAAATATGTACAGAAATGTTAGTGGATGGATGAATGGAGTTTGAGTTCAGGGCCGTGACTATAGTTGTTTTGACGAAAACAAAAGAACAGACTGCCGCTGAGAGTGTGGGCACAGTACGTGTTAGGTAAACATCCCAAAGCAGACTCAGGTGCTACAGCTTTTCTTATGTACTACATAATAAACCTGACATCCACATCTTGTTCTTGTCACAGACATTTTTTCATTTTTCTTATCATCACATTAGCCATTGATAATATTGTGACCAAAGCCCCCAGTCTGCCTGCTGTGGTAAGTGATGGATGGACGAGTGGCACGAGGAAAGACAGTTGAGAGAACAGATGAGTCGAGGCAGGCTCAGCCAGATCGTAGCCTCCGGAGCTATCCCTTTACATGATCTATGAGGCTTAATTTGTTTGTGCTGTTTTGGTAATAAACAGGGAAGGCCAACTCAGTATTCAGGCTGTTGGCTTAGTCTATTTCCCCTAATCTTCCCATATGACCAGATAATTAATGATGGAATGACAGGAGTGCCCACGGTCCTTCTGTTAATGGAAAGGATTCATCATGTTTACTCAACTTACCCCTTGTTTCTTTATTCAGAGTTTAGCCATGGTGTCATGTCTGTGAGATTTGGCATCTATTCAAAAATATAATGGCAGATGATATCGTGATAAGTCCTGAAACCGATAGGATATTCTCAGCTAGGATTTATCCTAAATGTCTAACTTAATCATCATTGTTAGTTTTAGCCACATATTGAATGGACTATGTGAGTGCTGGAAGTTTAAGCCGTGCAATCCCACCAAGTCATCCCAGTTTATCCAAGAACCAATTTTAAATGTTGTAATTTAAAACATTATTTTACTGTGCGTGTTTAAGAATGTCTGTTGATATTGCATATATTTTCAAATCCTGCGAAAAAGATCAAAGCCAACAATAAAATACTTAAATAGAATATGAATTCAAACCCCAGCTGTGCCTAGCAGAATAGAGTATTCAACCCAGAAGGATGAATTGTGTTTGTTTGATTGACTCAAAAATAAAGTAAATGCCTTTTACTTTGTAACTGGACATGTGACTCAATACTGTAATGTAGTTCATTCTCCTGTAATTATTAGCGTCAAATAACACATTTGACAACATATTTAATTGAGAGTAATCTTCGGATATTGCAATTGCAATTGTGATATGATTTTATTTTAAGTCTGAATATGATGTTTAGGCCAGAACATCTCTGTAGCACCACTATATTAATAAAAAAAAAATAATGTTTCATTTAGAAAAAAGAAAAAAAGATTCAAGTCTGTATGAAATGTAAACTATATATGACTTAGCATAGTACTGTTTCCTGTTATCATTGATATAAAATATTATATTTAATATTAATTCCGTTTTTTTACAAGAGTTGGACTGAATGTGGCTAGTCGCACACAGAATCTCTCCATATAGCCTGCAAGTTAACAGAGCAGTGGGGAAATGAGAGATAAATCCAGGGTAGAAATCTTCCTGTGGGCAGCTAGCTGCTCAAATCTCTCCTCCCCGAGCAATATTTTGACAAAGGCTTTTGAAAAGCCGAGCTGTCAGGGCCATCCTCCTGACCAGACCCTCATTAGCCAACACCTGCACCAGGAGAACAGGCAAAATGGTGACACCTCTTCAGCAGAAAATTGCAAATTCATTTTGGAATAAGGTATTCGTTAGATGAGAACAAGCGTCGGAGCACATTTGGTATTGTTGGGTGAAGAGGATTTCTCTGTATGAGTGACATGCTACACACATTTTCATTAATGTGGATCCTGAAGAGACGTTAATCTACTGGAGCTGCTTAAAGGTAAACATGGCAGTGTGGGGATGAGAGATATTCCCATGGTGGACTTCTTGTTTAGGGTTGTGTTTAATTGTCTTATTACATGTTGCCTGCTGCTGAAGTCTCCCATCAGGTCCTTGAATCGTTGTAGTCGAGAGGTTATAATAATACGACAATTAACATTCAGAGAGCACATAAGCATCTTCCCAGATAGCTGGTTCCAAAACATTAGTGATTGGCTTGTGAATGATTTTGGTTTGAGAGTTCTCGAGTGCACTCGGCTCTCCCGATTGTCTGAGAGACATAACTATGAATCAGTCATTGTTGCTTACTTTTCTGTGTTTTGATGCATTTGAATAGCAAGGAGAAACATTTTTGATAACTGTATTATTGTTTGTTTTTGTCTGGTTTTGGTATACGGCACTGCTTAGAATTTGGGGTTGGCTTGATGTGACTCCATCGATTCAGATCTAATGCAAGAATCTCGGACATGACAATGACATTTTTCAGATGTGGTTGTGTTTCTCAGATAGATAAAAGCAGCTAGAGTTACAATTGATTCTGGTTCTGATGCAGGTTGAATAAACAGCTAAAGAATTTCTCTCTGCCAACAGGTATTTGGTGAGCCATAGCAGTTTGCTGCCTCCTGCCGCTCGCCCTACAGTAAAATTACCAATGGAGACCGTAGTTTATAACGGTCATAAAGCCCCACAAAGGGTGCTGATGCAGTTAAATTCCATAATTCAGTTTCACATTCATTTGCATTGACAATCATAACTCCTCTGGAGCCGCTCCAGAATAATGCAGCCAAGAATGAACAGCTTGTTAAAGTTTAGAGGGCGTCCTCCTCCCCACTGAAGCCCTGAGGAGCATATCTCTGCAGTATATCGGATGAAAATCTCTGAAGTCTTTTTTCTTTTCTACTTAACACGGGTTGAGTTGTATGTCTGTCAAAAATGAATCAAAAGAGTAAGTTGTTGTCTCAGCGTTTTTTCTAAATCATCACATTCCTTTTACATTTGTCTTGAGTCTTTTCGGCAAGAGAATAGAAAACAGAGCAGCTTTCACATTTGAACATCTCCATGAGCTAAAAGCACACCATGCATACAAGATGAACATTACTCTCCAAGCTTTTTAACATTCACAGTACAAAGATGATACTAAGTCATAACATTCTCTATAATTCAGTAGTTATCTAATGGTATCTAAACTAGAGGTGTCCCGATCCGATCACGTGATCGGGGATCGGAGCCGATCACGTGGTTTTCAAAAGATCGGAATCGGGAGAAAAAAATCGGGGATAGGATTTCTTTTTTTTTTTTTAATAAATACTTTTTTTAAATTTTGTATTCAATGTTACAAAACAAAAATGACCATGTTCAAGTCTTAAAGTCATCCTGAGGCCTTAGTTTTGGATTCAAATTACACAACATCATGCATGTGTTTCTTCTTTGGGGCTTGTTTTCATAGACCTGGTTG